GTTCTTTTTTTTTTTTTTCTTTTTTTTTTTTTTTTTTTTTTTTTTTTTTTTGGTATGGGAAATCAAACTTGGGACCTTGTGCTTTTGAGGCAGGCGGCGACACCACTGAGCTGAATCCCCAGCCCAGCCCATGATACATTTTGATATTAAGTTGTATCAAGATCATGTAATGTAGTCAGTACATTTTGGGAGAAATTACTCTTTTGACCCTTTAATTTGGACACAAAGACTTGGATAGCATTGATCAACTCCCATCACAAGCTTCAGAAACTGGCCATATGACTTAAGGATGCTGGAAATTTCCAGTAACCCAATGTGATAGAAATTTCAATTCTGGTGGCCTCAGGACTCTCACTGAGAAAAGGGGCAACCTGCTAGATATCCCATGAGGCCCTCTATTCAACAGCCCCTTTAAGAGAGGCTGGAAAGAGAAAGGCATTTCCTGGCATAGTGAATTATTTTATCTTGACTCTTCTTTTCCTAGCTAGTGTTTTAAGAGACATAGTTACCAGCTACTCCACATTCATGCTCAGCATCCCATGAGGAAAGAAAAGAACTTGGTTTCTGTCTCTGGAAATAAGGGTTGGATTTTTGTTCTGCTCCGGTTCCCTGATCCACAGTGTACATAGCTGTTAACACACTAATCCCTTGAGAACTGCCTGGAATTTTGCTGAGGTGACCCTCATCTACGCAGCCTTTCTGTTTTATTTCAGTTCAGTTCAAGCAGCAAGAATTTATGGTATAATACTGTATTTCACTTATGTCCCCAGCAGTTTGCTTAAGACATTTCAAAATAGCTTGTCCCACCCTCCCAAGAATCTTCCAAGAGGAGAGAAAGACAGCTACATATTGTATTAGTTTTCTATTGTTGCTGTTAACAACTTGCTACAAACTTAGTGGCTCAAATAATACCCACTTATTAGTTCATGTTCTGTAGGTCAGAAGTCCTGACAGATAGATGTGTTAGTTCTCTTCATGTACTTTAAAGCTGAAATAAAAAATCAGCAAGCTGAGTTCTTGTCTAAAGGATATGGGTAAGAGTTGTATTTAGAGGCCGGGTGTGGTGGCGCATGCCTGTAATCTCAGCCCTTGGGAGGCTGAGGCAGGAGGATCGCTGTGAGTTCAAGACCAGCCTGGGCTACACAGTGAATTCCAGAGCAGTCTGAACTACATAGTGAGACCCTGTCTCAAAAAACAAAAAAGAAACAAACAAAAAAGTTGTATTTAGCTCATGTAGACTATTGATAGAATTCATTTCTTTGGAGATTGCTGGTCCCTATCTTCTTGCTGGCAGAAGACTATTGCCAACATTCCTTGCACCTTGCTAGTTGGAGAATTTTCCTGTGTCTGATCCCTCTCATAGACAAATGTCTCTGATTTCTCTTATCTCTGACCACTGGATTTAGGTTTAAAAGATTTATGTGATTAGAGTCCACCCACTTGGATAATCACCTTTATTTAAAATCAGTTGATTTGAGACCTTAATTATGTCTGCAAAAATCCCTTCACAGCAGTCCTTGATGAGTGCTTGAATAACTGGGAGGCATATGTACCTGGGGGGATATGCTGGAATTCTGCCATGCTCCTACATATAACATAAATGAAATAACTAGAAAGATGGAATTTCTAACCTTAAGCCAATGCCGATCATAGGTATTCTCTCATGTTGGTAGTTATTGTAGCAGGACAGAAGAAGATGACTCGGGCAATGATAGTAAAACAAGGAGAAGGTAGGGAACCAAGGGACATGAGGTTGACTTTGACGGGTAGTGGATTTAAATGGAGACAGTATTCCAGGCTTAGAGTTCTTCACGTTAGATTAACTCTAGTTGCCCAAGGTTTCGTCAGCAAGGAAGAGTGTTTTTATGTAAATGATTGCATTTCTTGAATTAGAGGGATTCTACAGATCTTTCAGCATCTAAATTTCCCTACTTCAATAATCTCACCTGTTTTGTTTCTTAAAAAGAAAGTGTGTGAAACTTTCTTGAGATTTAAAAACTTACAAAGGACATTTACATGAGATGATATTAGAGTATTTTTAGAGTTTATTTAAAATAACTTGATATCATGGATTCTTAAAGTGGGTTTTACTTTTTAGAAATGTACATGCAGTTTTTAAAGTAAAGTTTGGTGCATATTTAAGTGCCTAGGAACCCTCAGGATTTGGAGGAAATGTTTTTGATCTTAAAGTATTCAGAGAGGAGCATCTATAGAGGTCTTCTGTAGATCAATCCTACAATGTGGTTTCAATGCAGTAATTTTGCTTTATTATTCCATCAAGATCTTTAGTGCAGCAGAAAATGCTGTGTTTATGTCTGCCCACATCTATAAATTCCTTAGAACTGTAATTCTGTTTGGATTTATATTTTCAGTGTAGCTGATAGAGTTGTTGATTAATACTGTTATGTAAGTGCTACCTTCCATTCATTTTGGTTATGGTTCTTAGAAAAGGATTAATATTAAATTGGTGAGTTGGAGGAGCAGATAATTGCTAAGGAGAAAGACAAGATAAATAACAGTAATTAATATTTATTGAACATTTGCTTTGTGCTAGACTTTCTGAAGATGTCTCACCAGGTGTGGTGGTGCATACCTATAATCCCGGTACTATGGAGACTGAGGGAGGAGGATGGCACAGAGTTCGAGGCCAGCATGGGCTGCATAGTAAGACCCCATCTCAAAAAAGAAAAGAAAAAGACTGTCTCATTTAATTGTCAAAACAGCTTTGAGTTGTTAATCTTGTTTTACAGTTTAAAAGACTAGGGTCATGGAGAGAGTAACTTGCCCAAGATCACACAGCTAATAAGCAAGGGTCAAGATTCATACCCAAGAAGGCTGTCCAAACTCCACTCTTACTGTTTTTTAACTCACTCTCTACATTGGAGGCTATGATTCGATTTGGGGTATAACCAAATCCATGTTTGACAGAAATACTTTGTAGGGGATTTTACTGGATCCATATAGATCATTTAAGGCTTTTCAAATGCCTATTCTAGTCGGAGATTTCGCTCCGTGGTTCCACCACCTGCTTTGCATGCACAAGGTCCCAAGTTCGATCCCTCGTTTCAAAAACACCCCCCCCCAGAAAAAGCAAATGCCTATTCTATTTGTTAAATTTTCCTGAGGAACCTAATTGACCTATAGCCTGAGCATTACTGAATAAACTTCTAACTTGTGACGATCAATGAATAGTTAAAGCATCTGAAGTTGAGAGGCAGTAGTTTAGAAATTCTTTCGAAGAGTAATGCACAGGGCAGATACAAGAAGCACAGAGACGATGAGTAACTGGAGGCAGCCAGAGAATGCCAGACTGATTTGATTTATCCATTAAAAAGGTAATCATTCTGGGGCTGGGGATTTGGCTCAGTGGTTCTGCCTCTCAAGCACAAGGACCTGAGTTCAATCCTCAGTACAAAAAAAAAAGTAATCATTATAACCTAACTTTCAAAAGAAATTATGGTAGAGCCAGATGTGGGGGCACACACCTTTAATCCCAGCACTCTGGGAGGCTGAGGCAAGAGATTGTCAAATTCAAGCCTATCTGGGGCAATTTGGTGACTTAAATAAAATATAATAAAAAGAGACTGGAATTTTAGCTCAGTGTGAAGGCCCTGAGCTTAAAACCACCCCCCACCCCACAAATAATAATCTTGATCATGTTTTTTTCTACAGGTAGATGTCGTTTTTATATTAGGTGTGTGACATTATTTATCTGTTTTTTGCTTAGCATTATTTTAGGAAAATTTCTCTCTGTTGGTAGTCCTCTCAGTTAGGTTTTATGAAGTCTAATAAACTTTTTATGAATAATTGACTTCATATGTTCCGAGGAATTAGGTGCTCTTATTTAACTTTATTGAATATTTAGATGGCATCTTGCATTTTTGCCAGGTTTTGTTTTGTTTTTTGTCTTTTGGTTTTTGGTTTTTTGAGATAGTCTTATTAAGTAGTTCAGGCTGGTCTTGAACTCACTGGTTAGCTCAGCTTGGCCTCAAACTTGTAGCAGTCCTCCTGCTTCTGCTTCCTGAGTGCTGGGATCACAGGTATGCACCCCCATGCTCATCTCTTTGCCAGTTTAACCCTGTGTATCTCTGCATTTCTAAGCTAGAAGCAACTTTTTTTTTTTTTTTTTTTTTTTTTTTTTTTTTTGAACGGCCCTCCCTTTTTTTTTTAGAATGTT